GTGTTATGCACCCCCTCCTCCTTGCCCCAGCTGTGCCCTGTCTGTGTTGCACATTAGTTGAGCATCCGTGAGGCACCTCTGCCTAGAGAAGGTGCTGCTGACAGCTGATGGCTCAGATGGGCTCAGGGTTTAGGTCACCCTTAATTTTCTTTAGGATCAGTGCCAGTCCTCAGATCCTACTAGTGAGCCAGCAGGCACCCCCGCCCCCCACCCCCTCCTCCTTGCCCCAGCTGTGCCCTGTCTGTGTTGCACATTAGTTGAGCATCCGTGAGGCACCTCTGCCTAGAGAAGGTGCTGCTGACAGCTGATGGCTCAGATGGGCTCAGGGTTTAGGTCACCCTTAATTTTCTTTAGGATCAGTGCCAGTCCTCAGATCCTACTAGTGAGCCAGCAGGCACCCCCGCCCCCTTTGGCAAAGCTCTTGGGGTGGGTGGAAGTATCCATGTTTTCACCCCCATGCATCTCCCAGCCCCATCTGCCACATGTTCCCCGCCCCCACACCAACAGGCATAGTGGGACTAGAGCTGATTCTGGCTGCCAGCTCTGACCTATGTGCGGAGCTGTCCTGCTCATAGGACAGTTCAAAACGGTTGCTCTAAGCTTTGGGGCACCCTTCAGTGGTTCCCTCCCTCCCCCGCAACTGTCCTATGGGTAGTGTGGTCACCCACACTCAGGTTAGCCTGTGGGGCTGTGGGCTGGCTGTGGCTGGCAGCAGGGGCTGAGCATGCCCATACTCACCCCAACAGCAGGAACCATAGGGAAGCAAAGCTGTGCAGCAGCCTGCTCCACTCTGCTGCCATCTCCCAAGCCAGCCCTCCCTTGGCTAGGGCACTCTGCTTCCTGCCACCACGGTGAAGCTGAGGGACTGGGCTGGCCTAAGAGATGGCATTGGAGCAGAGAAGCGGCTGCTGCATCACTCCACTTACCTACAGCTCTTACCATGGTGGTGAGTGAATGTGTGTGTGTGTGTGGGGGGGGAAGGTGGGGTCAATGATCCTTGCTGCCACTTCTTGCTAGGGCCCCCAGGTAATCCTCAAGGCTACATCCCTTGCAGGAAGCGGCTTGAGGGAAGGGCTGTAATGGGAGGGCAGTGGATGGAACAGGAGCTGGACTTGGGGGAAGGGTATGAACACCCATCCCTCCAGGACCTCACGGATGCAAATGCCACACTAGGCACGTCACAAAATGTATTAGAGTTAAGACTTAAACATGAAGTCTTGACCAGTGGTACTAGGATTTCAGCCTAGGTGTGTAGCGAAAGGTCTAATTTAATTATTTTTTAAAGATAGTGATACGTCATAGCTATGTAAAATAGATGTGGCAAAACTACATTTAAATTCAGTGCTTGATAGGAGATTGAACCTCATGTTTAGGTGTGAAGGGATAGCTTTAGTATACACAATTTTAGCCTTCACTCCACTTTATGCCTCTTCTTGACACATTTTTTTGTTTTCAGTGTTAGCACTACAACAGTTGAAGGATGCAGTAAGGTTATCTAGTTTCTAAAAGATGTGCACAAATACAAGGTGTTTTTTCCCCAAAAAAATAAGTCTTTGAAATTGTCTTCTGAAAATTGTTTATTTTGAATTTAATTCATAGACCTTGATTAAGGAGGGGAAACTCATGTTCATATTCAGAACTAAGTTGTTGCATCATTAATTATTTAGGCATGAATAATAAGGAACAGTGATTTATTTTGGGGTCTAGCATAAGATTTATAGCATACTCTTATTTTGTAAATTATTTGTGTGATATGTATTCTGTCTTATATGTATATAAGACAATATTTAGCAATTAAACTCATAACATTGTATTTTCCTCTAAAATTAAGTCTTATAATTATTTTACTTTTGCTTAGATACTTAAACAACTCTGAAACAACTAATTCAGAATAAAATAAGAAGTTGAGGAAAATTTTGTTTGAGATTTAAAAATGAGAACAAACAAAAGCTGTTGCCAGTGTATTTGACTGACAACAGTGGTTCTCAACCTCTTTACCACTCTGGGATGCATTCATTGCTACCTGTAAGTCCCTGAAGATGTCACATGGGCTGCACAGCTCTGTGTTGATGGGCCTCAGGTTGAAAATCACTGACTTCAGTATCCGTCTACTTGCAGCAGTACAGTCTTGGCAGTGTTCAAGGAGGAGAGTCATGGGTACTTTGATGGGCTTTACATTTTCATGGAAACATTCAGCATGATTTTAAAGTGTGAAGACTTAATGAAACTATGAATGTGCATAGCAGCAGGAAGTAAAAATTGTTTTCTTCTTTAAAATCAAAATAGAGACTGTATACAGACTGTAAGTTTAGTATATTATGAAAGGGTCAGACTTGGTTAGCTCTGCAGCAATAACTTGGGAGACTTGTAAATCCGCGCTTCATTTGAATGTTTGATCAGCTTCATTTACATTCCTCTTTCCCCTACCTTGTGGTCACACCCACTCCTGCACCCATTTCATCATTGTGGGTGGTTGGCTGGTGGTCCATGGAAAGGTTTGCGTTGAGCAGGTTTGGCCATGGGCCAAAATTTTTGAACCACTGCTGTATGTAAATGGAAGATTAGGAAAGATGTTAGGGAGAAAATGTATGGAAACAAGCAAAAGTGATTCAGACTTGTAGCAGGTATCACACAAAATTATGAACTCAGTGGTGGTGGGGTTCTTTTTGGTTTTGTGTGTGTGTGTGTTTGACATTGATCAGCTGTGAAGTCTATTTAGAAATGTTTATGAAGCAATATTTGCCCAATTGTGTAATTTTACTCACCTGTGTAATTGTGCATAGCACTTGTTTTGCATATCTTGCAGAAAAATTCCTTTTCATTATAATCTACTACAGAAAGTAAGTGGCCCATTTCCATTTTAAGCAGGGCAAAAGGAACAAGCTGTTGAATGGTATAAGAAGGGAATTGAAGAACTGGAGAAAGGAATAGCTGTCTTGGTTATTGGTCAAGGTAAGCTGATTTTGTGTATGTGTAAAGTTATACCTTTTTTATGACTATCACTTCCTGGCATTTTTTTTCACCCCAGGCCTATACTGCAGGGAAAGGTTGGCTTAAGATATGCAATTCCAGCCAAGTAAATAATGTAGTTGGAGTTGACCTATCTTAAGACAGACTTTGGTGCCATTCCTACACTGAGAGATTGACAGTAGACATGCTCTTGTTGACTTCTCTTATTCCTCGCAACAGCGAGGAGCACTGCAGTCGATAGTGGTGCTTTCAGCTTTTGATTTAGCGGGTCTTTACTAGACCCACTAAATCGAACAGCAGAAGATCCACCGCCGCAGTGTTGGTCTTCCAGCAAGTCTAGATGTTGCCAGGAAAGTGGGAGAGTTACGCACCATATTTCATTCTTCAGGTAAGTGGTTGGTTTGTAGAGTATTGTGGAGAAGCACATGCAGAATGTTTTTAATGCAGCAGACATTCTCTCCAGATAACTACTTACCTCCATTTACTTTCTCCATATTATGATAAGCATATAATGTATAAAAAGCCTGCTACTCTGGCTTTAAATTGATATGTTGTATATAATCTGAAGAAATATTTCTAAGAAGTCAGAGTTCCAATGTGTTGGTTTTTTTTAGGGGTTTTTTTTTTTTTTGGCTCACTGATTTTATTTTTTTTATTTTTATTTTTTATAATTTAAATTCGCTCATTTCTGCAGTAACTTCTTGAGGGGAAAATAGTAAGCATAGTCCTGTATCTTAAAATAGTGAAACAGATCATAGTTACCAATATAGTACTAGCCTTCTCTATCAACATTTGGCAGAGCTGTGTCAACTTTTAAGAGCTTAGACAAGCTTTTAAACTAGGAGAGCTCTGTTGTAAGGAAGTTGCCATAGTGTTTGTAACACTATTACTGATGTTTTGAAATGTGGACGGACACTGTTTTTCTCAGTTTTACCAAAGTTCAATCACTTATAACCAAGAGGAACCTCTTGATTCCTCTACTACATTTTTTTATTCTTTACCACCTTTTCCTTTGTGTCCCTCATTGTGTACAGCCTTCACAAATTAAATGGCAGCATGCACCAGTTTGGTGTGGGCAGTCAGAGATCTGCACAGCAACACTTAAGTCTTCAGACTTCTACTTCCAACTTTGTGAAGCAAACAGCCAATTTCTAGTTGTTTATTTTAACTTAAAATATTTGACTAAGGTTTTAATTTTATTTCCCTCTCCTCGCTTACAAGGGGAGAGGAAAAAGGTAGATATCAGTTTTAATAGAGGAATTTTTTTAGCACTTGTAAACATTAATTTGACAGTTCTGTTTTAATTTTGAGTCTTTCTTCTCAAGGTGATCAGTGTGAGCGAGCGCGACGTCTGCAGTCTAAAATGATGACGAACTTGGCTATGGCAAAGGATCGTTTGCAACTTCTAGGTACCAGTTGCTATTCATGATTTGGAAAGTTGGTACACGTGATGATGCATTAACTTAATATATTTCATTGTTTACATTGAAGAGTAAAAGCCATTGCAGACTTTTTTATTTATAGTAGCATAGTGTGTGTTTCTCAGCCTTTTCAGGGTGGTGAGCCCTTATTTGAAGCAAAAATTTTAAAAAAGGAGCCCCCTGAGAATTACTAAACAGATATAAAATAATATGCTAGTAGATTTGACTTCACATCCTTTTGAAGGTTTTGATCACCCAGAAGCTGCTCTGGACACTTTATTTTCTTTGCTTTGAAATTATAATACAGCTGGTCCCCGACTTACGAATGCATCGATGTACAACCATCCGTACTTACGACCAACCTCCTGTACAGCCGGTCTGCGACTTACAAACAGCAATCCACGCTTACGAATAGCGCGGTCCCATTTAAATGAATGGGGTCCGACTTACAAACAGATCAGGTTACAACCAAGTGTTTGGTACGTAACTCATTTGTAGGTCGGGGACTATCTGTATATCTTTCAACACCTTTCACCCTCCAGTTGTCTTTAATGACCTGATTGAGATCTCAGCCTGCTGGTTGACAAACACTGTGTTCATGTACTGGATTTCTGCTGGATAAAATTTACAGGGGTGTTCTGCAGCAAGCACTCACTACAATTTAAACCAGTTCTATATTATTAATATGGGAATTACATTGACAGTGTCGTTCCCAGTGTGAACTATAACTGAAATAATTCAGTCTTGGAAGTAAGATTAAACAGTTGTAAAAATTAACTTCTGTGATTTTAATCAGATCATGTTTTTCTGCTTTAATTGCTAAACTTAAAACTGTTTCAGGAGCAACATATAGTAGAATCTGAGCCCTTATGAATATTACAGAATTCATTGTGAAGGAGATACATAGTCTACAAAAAAAGAGGCCTGTGATTGCCAGTGAAATGTTATTATATAATAATTTGAGTGATTTACTTTATATATTTAAAAAAAAAAATCTGGTAGAGCATCCTTTAAATAGCATTGTCCTGAAAGTGCTCTTAAACATTCTGTTTAAAAAGATTAGTTGTCGTTTTTTTCTATTTCACTGGTCATTTTGTTGTTGAGGGTTTTTGCTAAAGGAGAAGATGGCCACTTTTGAAAACAGCACCACAAAATGTGTTTTGGCCTGACACCGGATTCTCTGCCGAGGCCTCCTTCCTTCCCCCTTCAGCATTAGTTACATTTGCATCTTAACTTTTTGGACCCTGAAGAAGTCTGAGGCATCAGTCCCTTCCTTCCATTGGCTGCCATTGCTCTCTGGCCTGCTGTAGTGATGATAGCAGGAAGAAAGTGACTGTGTCTGTCCCTATTTTCCCATTTCCCTGGGGCTCTATGCAGGGATCTGCGGAGGGAAAAGTAGGTTCCCTTCCCACCTGTCTCCCTGTCCGCTCTGTTTCCTGTTGCTGCTTGGATTGGTCCACATTCTTGGCTCAAAACAGCAGCAGTTCATAAATATTTCACTCTCTAAGAGGCTCAGAGAAAGTTTGCTTCAGGAGCAGTCTCCTACAGTGATGGTAGTTGGGCAACAAAAAAGTGAAACTAAATATATGCTGTGGCTTCAATTTTGTAAAATAAACAAATTTTATAATTTGATTTCATTTATAGTCATTTAGATATTACAACAATACACTTTAAAAAATCAAAATCACTATGACTTCTGTTTGTTTGATTTGGCACATATACAAAATATATATTTGCTCCTGATGTTCACTTTTACAGTTTTGCGTATGTTAGCAAACCAAATTGAATATTGGCCATGTATGTCCTTAAATGTATTCCTGCAAAAGGAGGTGGTGAAGTTTGCAAGACTTAAGCACTCAAGTCAGAAACTGACATTGAGAGAGTACATAGAATCTTCTCTTCTCTTTATATTGTAATCTGTAATTACATGTTCTTTGCTTTATTCTGTGTGCAGCACTGATGGTCAATGAAGGTAGGGCTGGGAGAGGCAAGCTTCCAGCACCAGCCCTGCCCCTTCCACTGAAGCCCCACCCCCACGGAAACCAAGCCACCTCCCTGCTCCCTCCCCTCCCATGGAGAGGATGTGCAGCATGCTGTGCACATGTCCCCCTCTCCCGCCACCATCACAGACAGAGGGGAGAAGGGTGGGCATGCAGCCCCAGTCTCCCCAGCCCTAGGGCACTGGGGAGGGTGGGTGCTTGGGGGCAGCAACACTACTCTCCTAGTACGCCTATAATAAGCATTCTGGGTGTGGTGTGGAGTGTGGGTGGGGCCAGGCTGGTAATTTGGGAAGGCAGTGCATTCTCCCACCTAGGATACCAGATGTCCATGGTGTGCAGGCTGAAAGGCAGATTAATGTAGTAGTGGTAAATAACAAATGTTGTTTCATTTAGTTCAAATTATCTTTGAAGGAATATCAGTGAAGTCATTGCTTACTTTATTCCATATAAGTTCTTATGCTTCCCTTATTGCTGTAGTTGAGCACCTGCTCCAGAATTATACCAGTGTAATGGCGGGCAGAATTTGGATGAGGAGTTGTTCCTTGTGGTGAAGATCAGAATTATGCCACAATTTAAAAGAATTAGAATTAATTAGATGTAAAGCAATTATATCGTTGGGTGACATGTTACACTGTTTGTTACCTTTCATTACTTCTGTTTTTAAATTTAAAAATCTCTTGCTTGTCTCACTTCTGTCATTCATCCTGCGCACTTAATAAAGGCAATATTACTGTGGAAATGTGTGATAATGTAACCCAAATGTATATTGTAATGCAGATACACAAGGGGTCTTATAAGACTGCATGTGCAACTGACTTGAGAGCTTCTTTCTGTGATCTAATTGCAGGAATAGGGGACTAAGACCAATTCTGACAGAACCTTGCATGTATAAAGAGACCGATTACAGTCAGTACAGTACAGCTCTGTGCTTGCTGTGGGTCTGCAGAAATCCAGTTGCAAGATCAGGAATTAAAGGATGATTTTCCACAGTAGAATAGCAGGCTTTGTAGAATTTCCCAAGTTCTTAATACCCACTTCTAAAATATTTTGTCTGATCCAGTGAGAGCTATCAAACGCTTTACTCAGTGTATGGTAGAGAGAGACACACACATAGAGGAGGGTTATTTGGCTGAAACTTAATTCAAATATGGAGAAAGTGATGTTGGTAGTATAAGGAAAGCAACCAGAAAATGACATTGATTACATCTTTCTTTTTAAACATGTACTCCTCATTCGTTTTGCCTGCATCTCTAGGTATTGTTGCGTCCCTATCTGCTGTTTAAAAAAATCTCACAGAAGCATTGCTTGTATGGCTTTTTCACATAAATGGCCTCAGCTTCTTAGCCCATATCCATGATATGTGGCTATGTGCCAAATGATCCTGTCTTGTTTTGAGATTAGTTTTGGGGACTCTTAAGAGGTGAAACCTTCAGTTTACTTTGGAAACTAAAGCTAATGCATAATGTGTCTTTTTAGTAGAGATGTTAAAGTATGTGTATAACTGTGTAACTGCTGACAATATCAGTGCCTACATGGTTACATGTGGGGTGTGCTCAGAGAGCCAGCTTTTAAACTGGCCCTCCCATGTGTAATGGCTCCTGCCTGCCACCCCATGCTGCTGCCTCTGAGGTTCCCTGCATGTACTGGCTCCCGCTTGCCACCCTGTGCTGCCTCTGAGACAGGTTTATCAGTTAAAGTTTAGCCCTGTAAACAGTTAACATCCCTGCTTTTTAGCTGAGATTATCAACGTAATGGCAGTTCAGAATATTTTGTTGGGCTAATGCCTAATTTACAGATGATTGTATTTTGGGCTATGGGATCTATGGCTGCAATTTACATGGGATAAAGTGTCAAGGCCCTTTAGGAGTGGCAGCCATGAACAAACACGGTTGTTTAGGTCTACTTTGTATTCTGAATGCTCTGAAGATCTTTGTAAATGTGGCATCCCAAATGATTATCTTAATTCACTTGAAAATGAGATTATTTTATTCTGTTTAAGCAGAGGTACAGGAGAGATTTTCCTGTTTTTTGGAAACTGTGTAGTTTTTGGAACTGGGCAGTGTTACATACGCCAGTGCTAAAATGATGAAATTAGAGACTGATCTGACTGCAAGAACTGTCTCTGTATTAAGAGGTAGCAATCACATCTTCCTGTAGGAGGAAATGCTATAAGTTCCTACTCACTCGAGCTCTGACCTGTGAGATATTGGTGGTGAGTGATGTCAAGAAGACACTTGTACCGGCAAGGGATGTTTCTGTCCAGTATAGAAAGACTTCATGTCTTCCCACTCACCTCCCTTTAGTAGAGACCCTGGCCAACTTCAGGCACAAAAGTTCATGATATAATAGTTTCCTACTGAGTGAAACAAATGCTTCTGTTTTGTGATTGCTACTTGTTGCTTTTGTATTTAAGCTTAATATATTTCTTTCATAGACAGGAAATGTACAGGCACGGATTTCACGAATAATGAAATTGAAGAGATTGGGTGGCTGATACATGCAGGGAGAACAAACTTATTTTCATAGGAGTTGGAGCTAAGTGTTACCAAAATGAGAAGAAAGTAGAAGCAGTTTACTCTGTCTAGCAGGATGAGCAAAAGATTGATGTATTAAATGTGTTGTACAATGAAGACTGGTCTCAAGGGAAAAGACTGCAGTTTTTGTTGAGTTTTAAGATGCTTTATCAAAATAATTCATTATCAGGGAGATAGATGAATTAGATTCTTCTGTCAAGACTTACAGGATCTCGAGCAAAAGATTTTTTTTTTTCCAACAAATGGCCTAGTCTAAACAGAGCTTTTTAGTGGCGAAACTTCTTCTGCAGAAAGAACTGGCAGCAGATATGCAAATGAGTGCAATTTGCATTTCTGCTGCTGCAAAAATCCAGCAGTGTAGACTTAGCCATAGATTACCTTGTCTTTTTCCCAGTATAGAAAGGCCTTCAGGCACAATGCAACAATTGGGTTGCAAACAACTGGCAGGAGCTGGGGCAAGATGATTTTGGAAATATTAATAAGAATTGCTTATATAGGTGAAATGCATTAAAAATCAGTCTCTGCTGTCATCACCTCTGTCTGTTGGCAGTTGCTGTTAAGCATAGTATTAGGGGAGGCTTTTTTTAGACCTGAAGGATAGTTGCTTTTCACATTGGTTTAGGGAAGGTGTTGCATGGGCAAAGATGGAGTCAAATTATGTTTTCCTGTTGCATTTGGGTTTTAATATACCCATCATCATGGTAACTGAGCACAAAGGTATTTCTGGGGAAAGCTAACATGGGTGATTGAGGCTGGCAAATATCTACAGGCAGGACAACTGTGAAAAGTAGATGAATCGGGGGGAGAAGCAGAGTTCTGAAGGGCCTGAACAGCAAGGACCAAAAGTTTGTATCTGTTGCAATGAAGAAAGGGGAGCCATGGAGTGACTTGAAACGAAAGATTATAGTATACTTTTAACTTGTGTGATTGAGAGAAGATTCCTATTTTTCAAAATATTCCTTCATTTATTTGTTCACTGCTAATCGTTGATTTATGTTGTGCCATTCATTTTTGTGGCAGAGTTTTTCCTATTAATCTTCAATTATTTTCATGAACACGTTCGGGTATTACAGAAGTTAAACTTTTGGTTTGGTCAGAAACAAGGGTATCTTACATATTTATCTTTTTAAATTACATGCAACAAACTGCATAAGAAGCGAGAGTTCTACAGACTTCAATTCACATTTTGAAACCCTGAAGTCCTCTTTCCTTTGAGTATTAGGAACTGTCAAACAGGTTTTGTTTATTTCAGACATGTAAAATGTGGACTAACTTACATATCTGTTACAGTGAGCCACTTTGTATGTAAAAGAGTAATTGCCCCACGCAGATGGTCTACACAAGTTCCCAATGGAAGATTTCCATTATGGGATTGTTGTACAAATCCCACTTTGTCAAATCCTGTGCAGTTCCATTGTGAGAAAATCCTCTAACTTTTTTTAATGGTTAAACTAATTCAGGGAATGACTGCCAGTATAAAACTGCTTTCATAGATTTGTATTAATACACACAGGATTTTTTTTGTTGGGCTCACAAAGTAGTTAGCATAAATAGAAATATCCCTTTTATCACTGACCCTTATGTGCGAGATACTAAAACCCAATGTTATCATTTCTATGTGATCAGCATACATACGTTTAATTGGTTTAGTTTTTGTTTTATTTTATTTTGTCCTTTCCCCCCTCTGTTTATTGCATAGAGAAGCTGCAGGCAGTTGTGCAAATTCCCAAGCCGCAAACCGAAGTCTATAATGACAGTACTAACCTGGCATGCCGCAATGGACATCTCCAGTCAGGTGGGTTTGGTTTCACTAGCACTGAATTTAATCAGGGGATGTCTTTCAGATTTTGGTATGTTGCAAGTAATATGTTGAGTTTCCTGGCCCCACATTAATTTGTTAAATCTTGTATGTTTCTATTTTAAAGGTTTTGTATAAGTACATTCCATCCTCATAAGGCTTTTTGTTAATGCTGTTTGTTTATATTGCAGTCCTTAGCTGTCTCAAAATAGCTCTGTTTTGGGTTTTTTTGCTCCTTCTCATGGTTTTCAAAAAGTTAGGGTCCAAAAGAGTTTACCTTAATGTGCTTTGATCTAGTTCCATTTCAGAGAGGACTAGATGCATTACATAAGGACAGCCATGCTGGGTAGACTAATGGTCCATCTAGCCCAATATGCTGTCTGCCGCCAGTGGCCAATACCAGATGCCTCAGAGGCAGGGAGCACAACAGGTAATCCTCATGTGATTCCCTCCCCTGTCCTCCATTTCCAGACTCTAATGAGCTATTTAATGCATGACAACAGGATCCACAGGGACAGTTAGTCCACAGCAGGCTGATGCAGTTTGATAAACTAAATGCTTGTGTAGACAAGCTCAAAAGACTGGATTCCAAAAACACTTTTTCTTGTAGTAATATATTTAAAGAAGGCTAACATGGTGCACTTTATAATTTAAATGTAAGTTCTTGATTTCTGGAATTTCCTTTTATTTTGTTGATTTGTTTATTATATAGAACTGGTATGAGCTAAACTCACATTAGGTTGCTTTAACTAGATGTCATTTGTGTTTGTAATAGATTTTATGTTTTCTGCTTTCAGTGTAAAAGAAAACAGACAAACAGCAACATTAGGAATTTTTAATTATGGTTTTCTTCTCTTCCCCCTGCCCCTCCCAAAATTAATATACCAATAATACTAAGTTGTTAAAGTGTGTTTCCTGTCTGGGTGCTACATAAATGAAGCAAGAAGTTTCCTGACTTCTATAAACTGTGTTCAGAATTGAGAGACTCTTTAAAGCCAACAATATGATGTAATCAGAACTATAAGCCAAATTTACGAATTCACATACATTGTAGACTAATCATGTTAAATAAAATTAGGTTAAACACCAATGGAATTAATAAAACTCAGTTACAGAGCACAGAACAAAGCAATCAGAATAGTATGAAATAGTCTTTAAAGTGACTGTCAGTTTAAAATCTAGTCAGTTGAGTTTAAATAGCTTTCAGCAATTTTCTTGCCTTTGAACACCTAAACTATTTTTCCAATAATATGGGCACTTTTCTATTAAGAAACCCTCCCTGGCTTAAAACAAACTTGTTTTAAAACTAATAACACATTCAGATATATTTGTTTTAATTATTGTGTATTGTCTCTGGAATTTTTCAGTTAGTGTAGCTTTTGGTGTTTGGAATAATGTGAGTTTAAAAAGTCTTCATTTTTATTTTAAGTTGACAATTTAAGCCCAATAAAACTTGGGTTGTCTGCATCCAGCTGGTTTTAAGTTTGAATACATACACACTACCCAACCTCTGAAGAAACTTAGGCTGCTTTCTCTTTCGTGTACTCTACTTCTGTGGTGGTTTGTTTTTTGCTAGGTTTTCCACACTAGTTTTCTAACATGGATAGCTCAGCAAAAGAAAGTTTACTTGTGCAGGCTTTTAATTTTGGCAAGAAACAATTCTAGTACTCACAGCTTGTTGAGAAGTTCCCCGCATAAGTACAAATTGTCTCCTGTCCTTCAGGGAAAGCATCAAACAGGAGGAATCTGCTTCTTTTGCAATAGGGTCCTCTTCTATTAAGCTCAAGTATATATTTTTTTCCGTCATCATAGGTACCACCATAAATGAAAAAAATAATGGAGGATAGCAAAGTTACACTGGCGTCTGAGATTGGCCTTAAAACCTGTACAAAGAAAAATAACAGTTCTTTATAAAAATAGCATAGCAGTCTAAAAACTCCCCATTTCTGTTAATTACTTATTATAATTTTTTGTTCTGTTTTTTGACTTTCAGAAACTATTATCTAAGGTGCTTGCATGACCTCAATTGTTCTGATATTATGGCATCCCAATCAGAGCTGGATTACCAAATAGGCAGACTAAGCACATGCTTAGGGCACGAGCAAAGCAGGGGCACCAAAAAAAATGAGATTTTCTTATGGTATAGTATTGTTTTTATTTTGAATTACATATTTGGGGGGGGGGGCATAATCTTTTCAGTGCTTAGGGCCTCTAAAGGTCTTAATCTGGCCCTGATCCCAATTGTCAATGTAATTATCCTCTCAACGTCCTTGTAAGGTAGGGGAAGTACTTTATTCCCATTTTACAAATGGGAACTGAGCCACCGAGAAAGCAACCTAAGGTGGCACATAGGAAGTCTATAGGGAAACAGGGTCTTGAAACCAGATAACTCTAGTCCTGAGCTAGGTCCCCTAGTATTGGACCTTCCTTCCTCTTATTTTTGCATAGTACGTTTACCAGCTATTCAGCTAACTTTCATACTATGAACAATAAGGTTTTAATTAAAACCAATGAATATTTTTCTACCCAACACAGCTGAAAATGAACAAGTGTTTTGCGACAGATTTAAACTGGTAAATGACACGCTTGCTAGCTACTTAAAATAAAAGAAAAATCACTGTCAAGGGAAAAGCTTGGGGAACTTGTGGACTAATCTATTATTTGTATAGATTCACACTTGCCACTTCAGGAATTTCTTTACAAAAGAGATTCTGAAGTAGTGAAGGGTTGTTGAGTCATTCTCTCTTCTGGATTTCAAAACATTGTCTGAGCACTGGCAGAGGTAAATAATGGAATGCCTCTCCAAGTAAGAAGACCTGGAAGAACAGACACGGATAGGTAGGGTAAAGTAATGGTGACCTAGGGATGTTAAAATTAGATCAGTCAACTAATCAAATAGTTGATGTAATTTCCATCGACTGTTTGATTAGTCAGTAAGGGCACTTCAGCTTTGAACTGTAGCAAGAGCTTCTCCCCTCTCTCTCCTCACCCCACTCCTCCGCTTTTGCTTATTGGATAGTCAATTAGTTGATTAGTTGTTTACATTCCTATGGATACCTTTTTCTTTTTCCCCTCCTACTCCCCGCCCCCAACTCCTGACAGTAGTTAGGAGGCTATAGAATGGGACAATGATAAAGTTATTTCTCCCTCTCTACAACAAGAAGAGAGCTTCCATTTTATAAAACCTCTACTCACAGGCTGATCTGAAATACAGAATTCCCAAATGGGGGGAGAGAATTCTCGAAATATTTTTGTCCTTCCTGGTATCTGGGCTTTTCATTAGATTGTTGCTTCTTGACCTTGCTGAAGACCCTTGTCTCTGTATCTTTCTGTCTAGATATCTGGGCAACTTTTCAAGTTCTGTTCATAAGGTTAAGGTGGTGCTTAGTCTTGCATTCTTTGTAAATGTACTCTTTTGTTTTGCTTAGTTGGTAATCATACGACCAATGTTTTGTCCTTCCTGGTATCTGGGCTTTTCATTAGATTGTTGCTTCTTGACCTTGCTGAAGACCCTTGTCTCTGTATCTTTCTGTCTAGATATCTGGGCAACTTTTCAAGTTCTGTTCATAAGGTTAAGGTGGTGCTTAGTCTTGCATTCTTTGTAAATGTACTCTTTTGTTTTGCTTAGTTGGTAATCATACGACCAATGTTCTTCTTTCGCATAACCTTTCATTACAACAAGAACATAATTCATATGTGTAATGTTCATTAAAATGTGCCTTGATATTTATCTGGAACAGATTAACGATTTTAGACTATCCCCCCCCCCCCCCCCAATTGGTGCTATTAGAATGGGTCAATGCTAGACACCTTCCAAGGGACAGTCTTTCATCCAATAGCTGTCTGCATTTCTTATGGTTATTCTTTGGCAGGCCTATATCATGGAGGGTTTTTCTTCAAACCTTTATTATTTTGATTTAATTTTTAAACTGTTTCTGACCCTCACCTCTTAGGCCAAGTACCCCAAGTAACTTCAATATATACCAGGATTACCTCTATTTTGAAAATGTGCCTCTTGGATTTTTAATGTTTTCCTTGTGACACTGATGTCTCTTTTGTTCAGCTAGTCATTTATAGATGCTTCTGGAGCTCTCTAAAGTGTATAAGTGAGCAGTCTTGTGACAAAACTTACCTTTAGAGTATAAGTTACTCCATGTGCTTGTTCCTGTATTTAGACTAGGTTACAACAAACCTACCAAAATTGTTCCATAGAGATGGATACTTGTCATATTTTGTTTCTTTGTAAGGTGGTAGAGGTACTTTATATTTTCTAGCAAGGGGAGGCACAAGTCTTCATGGTTTTATTTTTAAAATATTAATCCTCATGTGATGTATACTTTAATAATTAATTGGACTACTGCAATACTCCTAATATACTTTGTTTTATTCCTGTGTCTCAACCCATGCTGAAGTTTACTTTAACATTGAGTACATCAGGAACAATTGAATGATTTACTGTACAGCTCTTTGTTGGTACAGTGTTAGTGATTCAGTACCACAGTTTGGGTATCCAGATTTTAGGCTTACTTGATACTGACATACTTTATCAAGCATAGGTATACAGAAGTGAATGGCAAGTTGCCTTCTGGAGATGCTACTTTTACTGATACAGGTTAAACTAGTTGCCTGAATGGAGTAAGCTACCCCCCCAGTATAGGAAAAACCAAGGATTTCGTTTGCATAGCTTTTTCAGTCTGAGGAGATGGAAAAAATTCAGTGACATAGCTGTGCTGGCAAAACATTTACATCTACACCAGGGTTTAGTAGCTCTTAACTTAGAGATGTTTAGGGCATTAAGCATTCTTGCAGTTGTCTTTGAATGTATGTTGCTGAAAGATCTTGAATGTGTATTTACTGAATAGAAATAATCTAGTGAGCTTGACTATTCAGTCAAGTGAATAAGGGACTAATTATGAATGTTGATAGTCTCTTGTATTTGATCCACAGATACTGGTATTCTAGGTGAATCACAATTGCCTAGATAAGCTATCTTTAAG